GGTCTGGTTACTACCGTTTATGTCAGAACCGGATACCGGTACCATCACTAGTGTGAAGTCCCAGTGATGTCACCAATCCCAGTCAATGCCCAGTATAAAGTCTTTCAGGTCAGTTTAAGTTTCCACTACGCTGTCCTGGGCAGCAAGAGTTTGTACAAAACATGTCTGAGAGCTTTAAAATAAAGAGTGAGGTCCTGCACTTCTTCACATTTAACATAAATAATAATGTCAAATCATTGGTGTAACTCACCAGGTCCTTAGCATTGAGGGAGACCTCGTCCCACCACGGAGAAACAAACTCATAGTCACAGTTGAGGATACGACTATACATGTACTGATCCCCTCTTGGGTCGAAGAAGGGCTCAAACCCACAGAGTCTGTGGAAACAAACCAAAGGGAAAGAGTCTAGGAAAGGACGCTGATTTTGCCACATCACCACAGCAGCGTGTCGCCCTCAGATCCATTTGAAGGCAGCATTAAAAGCTTAATTGCTGTCTGAGGGAAGCAGATAAACAGGATGCAGACTTTCACATTATGTCATTGTGTTAAATGGCTGTCATGAATCAGATGGACGACCATAAAACTTATATACTGATGAGAGTGAGTCAGCAATGAATATTTCAGTATATATGTGTGAGTGTACGCTTGGACTGGCAGCAAGGTGTTAATGGACTCACAGGATGTAGAGGATCACGCCCACCGACCACATGTCCACCTCAGGGCCGTAGGCATTTCCCCGCAGGATCTCTGGAGCTGCAAGCAGAGTCTGTTAGACAGCAGATGGCTGACAGAAGCTCTAACAGAGAGTTTCTGAAATCCCACAGAGAACACGCCGCAGGGAACGCATTACTGCCCACTCGCATATATCACTGCAACGCAGGTGAATAAACACATCTACTACTGATACTACACCTACTACATCTACAGACACCATCCAGAGCGTCAGCTGCCACATCGTCACCACTTTACCTTTCCCCACACCTCAAAGTGCTGCTCATTCGCTGTTACTACACCACAAGTCCTGCTGCTGTGCCATGTCGTATCACTGAGATTAAAGGTCCCACACTATGCTGGAGTGTTTCCTCAAACACGATGTGCTGCTGTGGGAGAGACACCATCCAGTAATTCTGTGTTTGGTCCTAAAAATCTGGAGTTTAAACAGAAATCCTCTCTGGATGGTGATACATCTCCAGTACGACCGTGAGCAACACTGCAGTCGTTTTTGAGGATATACTAATTAACTGACAACATTGTCAAAATAGAAGCATCCTGCTCAGAGCTGAAAAATAGTTTGAACGTTGTAACTTCTCATTATCTGGTTGTCCTTCAGCTGATTAGATCACAGTGAAAACTGACATCTTCACTACGTCCTGATAAATTGAGAGTTTTCACATGACACTCGTAGCACTTCTCCATCACTCTTCTCTCGTTCACTCTTTCATGCTTCTTTGCAGTAGTTTGTGTTGTCCTGTTCGTTGTTTCTGTGAGTCTTATTTTTGCCATCGATTCTTCGCTCGGAGCCCGGCTGGTCGCAGCAGATGGCAGCCCCACCCTGAGCCTTTTTCTGCTGGAAGTTTCTTCCTATTAAAAGGCAGATTTTTCTCTCTCTGATTGCCAAGTGCTGTTTATATCGGATCGTTTGACTATTCTGTGTTATAATGCTGT